CCGCAGACTTCAGGTTGCACTGATGGCCATTACGAGACTGTGTAACAACATAATGATCAAGTATGAAAAAGCAGAGTTCTCCAGGTGCTGGAAAGATACCAGACATGTATGCAAAATTGGAGAGCAAGAGAGAAAGAGAAAGAGAGAGAGAGAGAGAGAGAGAGAGAGAGAGAGAGAGAGAGAGAGAGAGAGAAAACAGTGCCTGCACTGGGTCTAGACAGGAAAACCTAAATATCGGACATGGGTCATTGCAAATACGGCAGGTCAACTCGCCAAAAACGGGCATGACACAAACCAACCGTGTTGGGTGACTGAGACAAACACAAGCCAAAGCTGTTCATAAGACCATCGTGGCAATCAGCGGTCACACCACCAACTCCGGACTCTTGCTCCATTGGCGATGAAATCATTCGCAGGATGCTGCACCATTCACTTCACCCTTCCCGCACACCATCATCGCATCGGTCATTCGTAGCACACAGCAGCGACCACAGAGGCCACCAGTAGGACTTCGAATAGGCATGGCGTATGCGTAGTCCACTCTACCGTGTGCGCGGTACGTACCCTGCAACAGGGAAAGCTGTCCTGGCTAACACAAGACAACACCGGGCATGTTGATGAAAGACTGAGATAGGAACGGGGTATGGCGGGGCTGTCAACGCTGATGCGGTGTTACTGTTGCACTGGGCACAGCTAGATCATGGATTACCAACCCATCAAGCAAACAGGTCATGTGCGGACGGAAGCGGCGCCAGCCCGTCTGTAAAGGATGGCAATTGGCTGAGGTCTGGCAAATTCGCCAAATGCTTCTCGAGGTGAGAATGTACCTCAACGACATGATGAAGCCTCTTCTGATGTTCCTTTGAGTGCACAGGGAAAAACAAAACAAAGTAAGAGAGAGAGGGAGAGAGAGAGAGAGAGAGAGAGAGAGAGAGAGAGAGAGAGAGAGAGAGAGAGAGAGAGAGAAAGGGAGAGAGAGAGAGTGAGTGAGTGATGCGAGTATATATAGACCACATAACCATGTGCAAGTGAGAGACTACACGAGGGTGGCAACAACGGATGGAGTAGTTGTAAGTTACTAAATCTTGTAGGACGAAAAAGGGAAGAAAAGAAAGAAAGAACAGAGCAAAAGATAATAAAAAGAAGAGGAGAGAGCTGGAGAGACTGACAGAAAGCAAGAAAGAGAAAGAGAAAGAAAGAGGAGAGAGAGAGAGAGAGACTCACATCATGGAGTGCTTGCACACGGTCCTGCTGGGAAGATTGGTCCCTGATGAATGCCTGAAGGAGAGAAATGGCATGCTGCCGTTGACCCATTTCCTGGTCAAGACGCATGTTATAGCTGGATAGCAAACGACCAGCGTCCTCCACCTGTCTCTGAAGCTCTTCAGCAGCTTCTTGATCTACAAATAGTGTGGAGTTTGGATAACAAAGCAGTACAAAGATGTATTATAACCTTCTCTCTGTGGATATACCGTGTACTATTTGAGAACATAAGCCAACGCGTGCAACTGAGACAGTGCCGGGAAAGGGTAACACCCCCCCCCCCCCCCCGTGAACGTTATTATGATGTCATTGTACGGTAAAAACTGATGTCACAGACCTTACTGATGCGGTGCAACAACAGAGTCGCGGACCGATCGAGACTACCATGACCCCTATTCATAAGTTTGAAGGAGTTGAACTGCCATAGCTCATCGTCAAAAAATGAAGCGAGTGGTGAATTCCGCTGTCCAGAATAGCACACTCTGGTTTGCCCACTCTTGGTAGTATGCACGGAGCACATCCATTGTCGCATTGTCAGCAGCCAGCATGTTCAAGTCTTTGGTGCCCAGAACTGTACAGCGAGTGAGCGTGCACGTGAACCAGCACACTTACTTGTCTGTCTCCCCGCGAAAGACGAGAAAACAATGAAAACTAACGCAGATGTGCAGAGATAATATCTGTGCACATCTGATGTCATGAGCAAGACTGTGCACAGCCACGTGTCGTGTGTATGGCACAGAAAGGGTCGAGAAGCGACGCCTTGTCCACGACCAAGTACACGATTGCGCACGTCAGGCCAGTGCCGGGGCACATGTACATCGGAGAAGAAGAAAAAACAGTGCATTGGGGGGGGGGGGGGGGGTATGAGACTGAGAGTGGGTTTAGCATACTCACTATGCAGATTATCAACGTAAGCAGTGCTCTGTACTTCATCTGGGAGCGTGGCGATCTGCAGGCGTATCTGGTCATCTGCTGCTGTTGCCGTTTCCAGTTCCTGCAAGTGATGCAATAGCACGTCCGGCTGTGCAACACAGACAGCATAGGAATGCAGAAGGAGGAGAAGAAGCTTGCGACGGTTGCAATGGTACAATGGTACAATGGACACACACACACACACACACACACACATACACACATTCGCCCGTTCGTGAGTCACACTTGGTGTATACGCAATCATGACCGGTACACGTTGCACGTATTTCAAAACTAGAAATGCACGCCATCCAACCATGGGATCTTCTGAACAGCAGCACTCTGGTCGTATACTCACCTCTGGAACGTTAACCTTGACGGGCGGATGCTCAAACACCGGTGGTCTTCTGCGCGCATCCGAGTCAGCTGAGGATTTTCTCCTTTTCTTCTTCTTTGGTGCTTCTACTGGATCCGAATCTTGGCCTGAGCGAACACCACGGTGGGCAAAAGCAGAGCAAAGCCATGCGTCACTTAGAAGCGAGAAGACAAGCTAAAGACGTGGATGATACTGTTTAACATACACTGGTGTTACGAGAGAGAACTTATGACTATTCACTCCTAAATGAGCTATCCCGCAGTCACCTATACCGGCTGCCATAGCCCAGTGCATACTGTACTTGCTTCAGTCATTCACTCTTAAATGAGATATCCCGCAGTCACCTACACCGGCTGCCATAGCCCAGTGCATACTGTATGTATGTGCTTCAGTCGTTCACTTCGGATGTCTCCACGGTTCACGTGAGACTCGGCTGGACCAAGTTTTCTGCATCCGCAGGAACGCCACCACCCTCAAGGATCAACACGCATATGCAGCTCCTAAAGCAGTGGAAGGTGAGTTGATCACACCCACCACAAAGTGGTCAAAGGCGGTTCATCCATTATTTTCTGGTCACTCGGAAAACTACATAAAAGGATAAAACATGGATCAAGTGCCAATAGTCACATCACAAGGTTGACTGTAAGTGCCAACAGTCATCTTGAAAACCCGGCGTCTATAAGACTGGTGTGCTAGTAAGACTGTACGGTATGCGCACACTTACCTGCACACATCCGAAGCAGCACCAGCACGGAATCCGTCAGAACGGCACGGTCCTCCCAGATTTTCAGGATGCGATCGAGAGCATTGCGCATGGACGCGTCAGCAATCCTGAACAGAAAGATACATGTAGAGGCGAACACAATCGAACGTCACCCTATTACTTGACATCCAGAAAGAACATTCTCTCTCTCTCCCTCTCCCTCCCTCCCCCCCCCCCCCCTCTCTCTCTCTCTCTCTCTCTCTCTCTCTCTCCCTCGTGTATCTTTGATATTGCACTACTAGCTTGCAGTCAAAGTTATCCACAGATGTGAGAAATTAATTCTGGAAACCCTTTGTGACTTGGATGTTGTGTGGTGATGACAGTAGCATTATTATGGTATTCATCGCTGAAAGAAAAGTTTTGCCATTCTAAAGACTGAGACTACTAAGTTCTTACTGGTAGAGATCTTGAAACACTTCCTCCAAAACTTCGGAGAACTCCTTGCTGTATTCAGAGCCCTTCTTCTTGGAGTTTTGTAAGACATCATTGGCCAGGTACACAAACGTCAGTTTTCGGCCAGGAGGAGCTAGGTCGTGACAAATGGGATACAAGCAAACATGTGCAGACACACATAGGCACACACACAGAGGTGCAGAGCAAGGTAGAGAAACAAGAAAAGAAACAGAGCAAGACATCAATATTGTGCAATAAACAACTACTACTATAGGTGAAGTATTCTCGATGACAAACCACTCATGTAAACAGCAAGTAAAAGGCATTGGTGGACATGGTATTGTTGGTAGTGTCACGGGACACCAAGAGTAACGTTACATTACCAAGAGTGTGCAACTCCTATCTTGAGCTGCGATGGACTCACCCACGGTGGAGTTTTTTTAATGCGTAATTTGTTGGCGGACGCATGGGTCTACTGCCCGTTGTTCAGCTTGGACTACCATAGCTATGATGTAAAGGCTCTTTGCACTTTTGATCTTTGGCTCCGCATGATGGCATTAGCAGGCCAAATGGCAGGGAATGACTGATCCCATTAGAAACTCCGCCGTGGGCTGAGAGATCGTCGAGCTGGACAATTTTGGTATCGCCAATAGTGCTGGTGCACACTGAAGCGAACAGGTGACCTCATAATGAAATCCATTGCTGACATGATGAACAAATTGCAGCTAGCATGTTCCGCAATCCGGTAGCACTGTTGGGGATGATTTTCTACATGATTTCAATACATTAGGCGCGTTCCTTTACACACAATTCCGTCCATTCTGGAATTCCCTATGATCCATACATTGTTCGGTTACACAGATTTCTTTGTCAGAATCCACGGAAGCCAATTCCACCCGTTCCGCAGTGAAGGCGGAATTTCCAATTCTCCGGACAGAATTCGCCCACTTGGCGCACGCTTTCTTGACACGTGTATCTGCTGATTTCATTGTATACGTGAATCTCTTTCCACGTGCCACGCCTATAGTTTACCATGAGCACATGCAAAATAGATAATTCCCGTCATTCATTTAAGTGGCCGTAGTCCGCTCGTTCGAGAATTTTAAAATCTGGGTCCAGAATGTGTGAACCAAAAGATACAAATCGCCCCCCCCCCCCCCCCCAACAATAATTCTGGGGCTTGTCAATAGGACATTATGAACGCCCCAGAATTGGTATTGTAACTGTACGTGTCGATACAAGACTTTATACCTCATACCCGTCTATTGCACATACATGTACAGTACATCTTTACACTCGTCACTTCAGCTTCTGGCATGCATACATCCACTAAACATCCTCGACTCAACAGAGAAAGAAACCAGGTCAAGGGACATGTAACATAAATCCACCTACCTTTCTGTAGACAGCCTTTCCACATCAGTACTACTTGGCGAGCATGCTTTCTGTGGTGAATGAGCCACAGGGATAGCGTCTGTACACTCTGCTGCGAGCTAGTCAATTCGGAGAATTTCTTCTCCAACAAGGACTGAGTGAACGACATGCCAACATCGATTCTTTGGTTCGAGAGATGCTACAAATCCAGTCAAAGATAGTGCTGGTATACTAGATGCTTGTTACTGGTAACTGAATGGAATAATATGACCCACCAGACATCAGCCAGTACAGACAGTCTATTACTTAGCTAGCTATGAATGAGTAGTCCAAATAATTGGCCCAAAAATGAGAAAGGAAACGATGTCGATTTCGTGTCGCTGATCATGGTCATGATACGATCGAATGATGATCAGATGTGACGTCGACGTCGCGTGGATCCCAAAACTGAAAAACAAACAAAAAAAATCTGGCCAGATCGCGGTCTCGATCTCATCATCTACCTGCTACGTAATCACCTACTCTGCAGTATGTCACCAGTCCAGGTGACCCTGGCTTGAACTGAAGGCTTGATGTCCTCCGCGCCGGAGCTCCGGTTTTGAAGTAAGAATACTAATGTCTTGTAGAATAAGAAGTTCAAAATATCCTTCCAATCAGATCAACACCATACCACGTACCAGCATCTATTTCTATTTGTGGTAGATTCTACTTTACAAATTTACAGTGGGTGTGCCTGACTTGCGTTTCCCAAGGTACCTGCTGTCCCTGCTATTTCTCCTTCCATTGGGTTCGCACGATAATCAGTACCGCCCAAAGGTTCTCCAGTACGATGTCGTCAGTGCATTTGACGACAGAGAACGTGAGTGAAATCATTGAGGACATCGACACTTTCTTATTCGACTGTGACGGTAAGTGCTCCATGTCTGGAAAAGAAATGTATTCTGCAGCCTGTATGAAAAACTAAAACTAAAAGTGCATGCAATCATGTAGAACTATGGACTGCTGTGGGTGTGAAGCTTTTTGGGTTCCAGTGAACTAAGTCTTCTTTGTGCCGCGCGGTGTGGTGTGTGTGTGTGTGCGTGTGTGTGTGTGTGTGTGTGTGTGTGTGTGTGTGTGTGTGTGTGTGTGTGTGTGTGTGTGTGTATGCATGCAATCCCAGCCCAAGTTGCTATGGCTTCTGCTGTAGCATCGCTATCATCGCCTCTGGCGATGGGCATCAAATGGTCAATGGTGTATGCATGTGCGTGCGCAGGTGTTTGTGTGTGTACGTGCGTGTGTGTGGTGTGTGTGTGTGTGTGTATGCGCGCGTTGAGCACTCTCAAGTCTCAGCCTGCTGCATGGGTACATTTTGCATGGGATGGCGTGACGAATAGCTTGGTCATGCCGATTAACCTTCACTCGCTTCAGTGTCGATGCCAATGATCGCGACCCAAGTATGGGAGGTGGACCGGACCAAGGTCAACACAGGGCATTGGGTCCACCACAGCACATGCACATGCGGACGAAGGTCAACACAGGGCATTGGGTCCACCACAGCACATGCATTGATGTCCTAGGGTTCTGCACACATGTGTTTTTCTGTGCACTCCATGCTCTGATGCACGCAGGTGTGATATGGAAGGACACGGAGGTTATACCAGGCGTGCCAGAAGCATTGGACAGCCTAAGAAAGCGGGTAAGCTCATAGAATCGTGTAGCTAGACCACTAGTAACATAGTCGCTGAGCAAATAGGGTGCTGGCTACATATGCGCCAGAGAGTCTTTTGCATGCCACAGCGTTTCACCAAAGTGCCCAGCAAGTACCGGTAGTGTGTGTGTGTGTGTGTGTGTGTGTGTGTGTGTGTGTGTGTGTGTGTGTGTGTGTGTGTGTGTGTGTGTGTGTGTGTGTGTGGTGTGTGTGTGTGTGAGTATGAGTGTGAGTGTGTGTGAGTGTGTGTGTCTGTCTGTGTCTGTGTCTCTGTGTGTATGTAAGCTGTTGAATGGTGCAATCCCAGCACAAGCTGCTATGGCTTTTGCTGTAGCATCGCTGTGATCGCCTCCGGTGATGGGCGTCAAGTGGTGTGTGTGTGTGTGTGTATGGCGTATGGCAGAACGGGAGGCATTGCACACTGATCTAAATTCACGGGCAAACTGATCGTCCTGGCGACCATGGGCAATCCATGCTGCATAGGCATCATTTCTACGCTTCAGCAGTGGGTCCAGGGTGTCACTACTGTCAACGTACCGGGCTCGAGCGAGCTGCAGTGACATTCGATGAAGTTGCCTCCGAGTTTGGACTGACAGTTAGTCTCTCCAAGACCAAGTTCATGGTGATCGGCAGAGACATTTCTGATGCGGACCTCGCCCCTGTTTGTGTTGGTTCGAACCAGATCGAGTGCGTAACGGAGTTTCGCTACCTTGGGTCGATCATCGATACGTCTGGCCGGTGTTCGATTGACATCTCCTCCAGAATTGCGGCTGCTTCCCGTGCGTTTGGCTCCCTGCGGAAGCCAGTTTTCAACAACCACCATCTGTCCGTCCGCACCAAGAAGAATATCTTCAATGCGTGCGTTGTCACCATTCTGCTGTACGGAGCTGAGTGCTGGGTACCCCTCCAAGCCGACATCCGGAGGCTCTCCACGTTCTACATGCAGTGTCTGCGTACCGTTCTTGGCATAACAAGGTTAGACGCCTGGCAAGAGCGGATCAGCAATGATCAGTTGCTGGAAATGTGGGGCGACAAGCGCCCACTTGCTGTCCGGATTCGCCAGCGACGACTTGAGTGGCTGGGTCATGTTGCTCGCATGCCACCAGAGCGCATTCCGAAGATTCTGTTGTTCGGTCTGCTCCCACCCCGCCGTCCACCTGGCGGTCCACGCAAACACTGGAAGGACTGCATTAGTGCAGACCTGAAGGCCCTGAATGCTGTGGAGGGATGGTACGATCTGGTAGATACTCGCCCCGACTGGCGCCGCATGTACCGCTGTTTCGAGCCCGAACCGTCCACACCTAATGTCCATTGCCAAGTATGTGATCGATACTTCTCTCGCCCATCAGATGAGAAGCGTCACAAATGCTTGGCAGAACGGCAGAAACCAGTGTGCAATCAGGCTGGCGCTTGCCAATGTCGTCTCTGCCAACGTTGGTTCCGCAGCCCCGGTGGATTGGCTACCCATCGGTGCGATCACGGACCTGCTCCCAACATCGAGCACCCCGGCAACCCGGTCACTCCTCAGTGCAGTACCTGCCACCGGAGTTTCAAGTCCAGCAGCGGCTTGGCCAGACACAAGTGCGACCGCACGAAACGAAGGACAGTGTCGGAAAGGGCCGACTTCCCGTTTGAGTGCCCTTGCCAAAGGAAGTTCTGACTACGTCACCATCTAGTGCGCCATCAGAAGTGCTGCTCCTCAGCCTCTTCCACCCCTCTCCCCTGACGGGGACCGTGTAACCTATCAAGGCAACGTGTATCAAGGTCAAGGTGTTATGTACTCATGGTTCTGTCTATACTGGTTACCGCGACAAGTGTAGTATGGGCTGTGCAGAGGTAACTGTCTGGTTTCTTTGGCATTTCTGGAGCATGGTGCACACGTGAGATTCTAGTACATCCACGGTACACAGTGTGACACGATTTCATAATAATACTGTATGCAGTGTGGTGTCTATACAATGGCGATGTGTTTAATTGTCTCCTCCCTCTCCCGTGCACACAGGGCAAACGAGTGCTGTTCGTGTCGAACAATAGCACACGCACACGGCCAGAGTACACGGCCAAAATGGCCAAGATGGGAATCAGCGCCAAGCCGGTGAGTGAGTGTTAATGCTCCATTCCGCGGAATGGGGTCTCGTGAGACCTTCCACGTCTGCCCAACCTGTAGCTTCTGCCGAATGCAAGCTTATTTCATGCTCGATGTACCCGGTTGCGATACTGGTAATGTGTAAATACTACGATCATAGCCGTATCAATGATATTGTGCCAGGGCACTGCTCTATTGATTTGAGATGCTTTAACGCCACAGCTCAGAGTTGAAATGGGTACCGGTTGACGTTACTGTACCGCATACAGTAAAACATGTCAGGGCGACCACTCTGATAAGGCGACCACCCATCTCACAAGACCACTACAACTAGGACGAAGGGTTTGTTTCTAGTCAAATGACCCTGGATAAGGCGACCACCTGATTTTTTTTTGAAGGTCTCTTGAGCGGTCGCCTTAGACAGGTTCTACTGCACGCTGTGCATCCAGTGTGCGCACAGTGCACGGCGGTCACGACTCGCCCATCCTTCCCACGGCCATCGCATGACCGCCGTGTTGGTATCCAAGCGGTGAAGTGCTCGTGCTCTTCATTATGGCAAATGCTAAAATTAACAGCATATTACTGAGAGTGTGCTGCAAAAAAAAACACCGCTAGCTCACCCGACAGCTTTCTTCACTACTGTATTTTGAACTATTTTCCGGAGTAAAATGCACTGGAATGTAAGCTAAACCTGGATTTTTGTCACTAAATATAGCCGTGGTTGGCTATAAAAACCCTGCAATCGCGGCCCCGGTATCGCCACGCAAAGTGGTCATTGGCTACCCCAGCCATGTATTGCTTGGAATAAAATAAAATAAATAAATACAGGCATCTACCCTGTAGATCACGGTTCATTTGATCATCGTAGTATAAGCTGCACTGACTTTTTTTGGGGTGAATTCCAAGTGTTTAAAGTGCAGCTTATGCTCCGGAGAATGCGGTGCTTGTTTTAGTGATGTGGTCATCTCTTTCATCTTGGATTGGTGTCCTCGTTCCTTTCTTCAGGAGGAGGTGTTCGGCACAGCGTATGCCACAGCTCACTACCTGCAGAAGCATTCCAAGGGCAAGGTGTACGTCGTGGCCGGCGAGCCGCTAAAGAAGGAACTGGATGCCCGCAACGTTCCATGCTTCGGACCTGGAGTGAGTTTGTGTGTGTGTGTGGGGGGGGGGGGGGTGCGTGCGCGTGTGTGTTGTTCTAGTTCATCCACCTTCTGCGACGTATGATACCGGTATCTGTTGACCCCATGTGATGAACATGTGCAAAATACCCTGCCACGCAAACTGCATTAAATTTTTAAAACAATACAGTGAAACCTGGTACAACAAGAGACCTTCAAAATGTGGTCGCTGTGTCCTTGTCCAGGGTCATTTGACTGGAAACGAAGCCTTCGTCCTATTTGTAGTGATCCTCTGAGGCAGGTCACTGGTGGTCGCCTTGACAGGTTTTCGGACTTTTCACTGCATGTGTGTGCGCTTGTTCATTGGCAAAGTCACATGCATCCCAGCGTGTACATGTATAGACCAACGTTTTTATGACAGGTGTTGTGACTGTATTTTATCACCGCAAGACTGTACCCTTGGTCATCGGCACGGTCACATGTATCTAGCGTGTACTGTAAAACATGTAATTTTAGGTGCATTGAAATTTCGGTGCCAGGGACCTGCCAGGTTTCAGGTGTAATGTAGAATTAGGTGACTGGCGTTCCCTTCACATACAGTGCATACTCTAGTGCCTTTTAGGTGTAATTTAAATTTAGGTGCCTGGTTTCTCTACCGAAATCACCGAAACTTATATGTTTTACAGTATGTTGATGTTATTTTAACTGTGTATTTCCTCACAGCTGGACCCAGTGGATGACGAGGGAGTGCGTGCGCTGCCATCTCATCTCACCACGCTGCCGCTCGACCCGGAGGTGAGTACAACCGTGCTCGGTGCAGCTGGTGCGGTGTGTCCACCATATTGTATTCATGGGGTACAGCGGAGGGAGCCGTAATTTCAGGAGCATGTTCTTCTTTCCTCGTCCTCCTGCCTGCATATGAGGTTGGGGCGGGGGCACATTTATATGAGGAGGTGGGGGGGGGGGGGGTGTAGCACATTAAATAGCATAATTATGACGTGGGGGGAGGGGATACGTTTACACTCATACTTTGTTTATCCGGGTGGTTTGGGACTCGGCACTGCCCGTAATTTTGAAATGTTCGTAACTCTTAATCACGCCCGTTTTGACGGAGAGAGGTCAGAGATGTGACGTGACAATGTTTCCGCGAAAAGTGACAAAGGGTCATCAGTATTTCCACGAAAACTTGCCCAAATTGTGCCCAGTAGACCAAAGTGCATATTACTTCAGTGTCTGGATAACTGTGGTATGAGTGTGACTGGGGTTCACAGGATCCGGGAGGGAGGTTGCACAGTTATGAGCTGTGGGAGGGAGCATTTATATGAGGCTGGGAGAGAGTAACACATTTTGTATGAGGGGGGGGGGGGGGTACCACATTTGCCTGTACAGTTGAGCCTATCCCATAGTAACGTTACAGCTTCAGGAACCGGACTCGACACAGTTCCTGTTCTTTCCCAGGCTGGTAACTTAATCTCGAATTCTTGCATTTGGTTTTGAAATTAATGACATCGGGAGTCCACGAAAAATGGTTCCTGGGTATTACTGTAAACTCTATTATTTTAATGAGGCGCATTTTTTACAGTATTGGATCCACTCTGCCCACAGCACAGTGCAATGTGTGGTGGGCATGCCCATCGTGTCATGTGCAGGTGTGATTTTTTCCAGGAATGGGCACCCGACCAGAGGGCCCAGGCTGTCAAAGAAAGCCACCCAAACATGCATGGATCCATATAGAAACTGGATCCAAGTGGATCCGAAAGTCAGCGTTGTCTTGACTCCATTCAGGCTGTGAGGTATCACTTTCAAGCCCTGTTCCGGCTTTGCTCTTATCAATGTCTTCCGCTGCTGTGCTGCTTTCAGGTCAAGACAGTGTGTGTCGGTTATGATCCACATCTGAATATTATCAAGCTGACCAAGGCCATCAACTACCTGCAAGATCCCGACTGCCTGTTCGTCGGTACCAACACCGATCGGAGCCTGCCGAATCCCACCAGTCGCCTCATTGCCGGTTAGTTTGTGTGGATTTTGATTTGGCGATTTTGTGCGTACAGTACTTGAGTATGGGACTTGCTCCTAATATACGCTTGTAGTGCACTTGCACACGCACACACGCATGCAAGCACGCACGCAGGCATACACACACACACACGCACACGCACGCACACACACACACACACACACACACACACACACACACACACACACACACACACGTGCATATATGTTTTCCTTGGGAGAATCTGCGGCGTATTTGATTCAGCAACTCCGGTTCTATAGCTGATCGCATCCAGTGGGTCTTTGCAATCCCACTCGACCTCCAACTGCAAAGAAAGATTATTGATGATACCACCACAGCCCTGGTTTTCTTGCAGCTGGTGGTGTTGCCTGGCTACTGAACTCAACCCTACTTCTGCACGATCATGTTGTTGTCGGTTTCAGCCAGGTTATTATCTGGAGCAGGTCTAGCAGCGCTTAGTGCACAAACTTGCTTCATCAACACTCTTTTGTCACCGATTTGAAGTCGCGCTTTGAGCCTGATGCAGCCTAAAACGATCAGGTTTGAAAAGCCCAGGTCTCAAGTATTTCTGAATGTACGGTAGAATTGTCTTTGTCTGGCTGCTGTTGTGTCCTTCCAGGAACGGGCTGTTTCGTGGAGTTTGTGGCAAGGACGGCCAACCGCGAGCCGACCTACGTGGGCAAGCCGTTCACGCCGATATTTGACTGCATCTGCGAGGAGTGCTCTGCAGCAGGGTAAGTGATAACACTGAGAACCTATCCAGATACAGTACTGTAAAGAGAGAAATTTTCGCTAGAGATTATATTTCGCTATTTTCGCGACCATCACACATTCGCGAATATAAATCGTCGCACACTGCTCTGTACATTGACTGCAGACAGTACAAGATCCAAATGAAGAGATAAAATCGCAAAAGTTTCTCGTCATGAACGAACACAATTCTTGACAACGCGAACTTTGCGTGCCGCAAAAATTTATCGCTTTTAATACAGTACATGACAGTAGACTGATAGTCTGACAGTGCTCGGGGTGATCACTTTGTTCAAGTGATCCAAAAGTGCATAATTGTTCCGGGGAAACGGTGCTTCATTCGGTGACGCACGCATCACTGTCTTGTGCATCACGTTGTTCTCCTCGTGCTGTGCTCAAACACTTGTACTTCAAAGTAATTTGTTTCTCTTTCTGTGTTTTCTCCCCCGCAGGCAACCAATTGATCCTGCCCGGACATGTATGATCGGTGACAAGTAAGTCGTGTCTGTGTGGCTTGATTGCGCAATCGGAACGCTTTGTTGGCTTGTATCAGTGGAGTCTTGCGCCATGCCCATTGCTGTCTGTTGCGGACAAGTCTTTTAAATTGTGTGCATGATAGTGCAGCCAGAAACAGTAAATTATGTGAGTGTATTATAAGACTTACAATGCATTAATCTGTCGCTTCTGGATGCTGTGCAATCTGCTTCTGATAGAGCTGCTTGGCTCGAAATTGTTAACAGATGCGTTGACCTCATGCAATGAGTGAAATGCGAACTGTCATTATTATTATTATTATTATTATACAAGAAGTGCACTATGCATTTGCTAGTATTTCGCCGGAAGTGCATTGGTAGGAGCATAGCTGAGCACTTGGCTGGGCACGCTATATGTTTGCCCGCTTCACTGTGGACCGGTCACTGGTTAACCGCTAGCAGTTACTCACTGTTTTATAGGTGGACTTGGACTGAAACCGGCAGTGTGATGGCACGATGTTGCAGTGCTCTGTGATCAGAATTCAAAAAGAACTATGCAAGATCAGCGTGGAGCTTGTGCCAGAATGCGAGTGACAGTCGATTATGTGTGGCCACGTAAACGCGTAATCTGCGGGAAACAGACTAGGAAGCTCTGTAGTAATTCTTGCTTGCATGTTAATGCTGGTATTGATACAGTGATAATATTAATAATCCCATTGCCAAATATGGGAGGTATGAGTAATGCATGTGAGTACGCTGGGATCAGGGATGCACTGTTCAACACCCCCAGACGACCATGCCCAGGTGTCTATGTGGAGTGCTCGCGGTACAAATAACGTCATTACGCAATGGGCTAATACTAGTTTTTGTGCCACTTTCCAACCGCCTCTCTACAGCCCGCTGACGGACATTCCGTTTGGCAACCGTCACGGCATGAAAACCCTACTGGTGTTCACAGGCCATGGCACGAGAGAAGACCTGGAGTCGTTGGCAGCTGAGGACGATCGGCGGCCGACGTACTTCACCGACACCGCTGCTGTTCTGTCGTGCAGCTAAGTGCTGGTGTTGGCTCTTCCAGTGTACACCTGTGTGCGTGTGTGTGTGTGTGTGTGCGTGAGAGACCAATGTGCTCTCCTAGAATTCTGTGTTGATCTACTAATGGCCGCGTGGGATCATGCACCGGAATCAGATTGTCTACATCTAACTAGACTATGTACTATTCAGGCCTTATCAGCGCTGACTAGGGACTTGTTGCCAGAAGACTTCTCCTGTTGATTTTTGAGGCTGGACGTATACTGGCCCTGTGCACTGCCATGCCCCCTGCTCACGGCTGCAGGTCATGTGACTGATCTAGCTGTTCCTGACGGACTATGCTGCACGTCCTGCCCGTCATGTGTGTACCCTCACTGCACACACGCACGCACACACCCACCCCCTCACTGCACGCACATACGCACGCCACACCCCACCCCCTCACTGCACACACACGCACGCACCCCACCCCACCCCCCTCACTGCACACACACACATGCACGCATACACACTGGGGATGTTGCTCCGATACATATGCTCTGCAAGGCCATCGCCGCCACATGTGACTCTGTGTGTGTGTCACTGTGTGTGTGTGTGTGTGTGTGTGTGTGTGTGTGTGTGTGTGTGTGTGTGTGTGTGTGTGTGTGTGTGTGTGTGTGTGTGTGTGTGCGCGCGCGTGCGTGTGTTGAATGGTGTAATCCCAGCACAAGTTGCTATGTCTAAAACATAGCTGTTCGCTATCATCGCTCCCGCGATGGGCATGTCTGAGGTCTGAGGTGTGTGTGTGTGTGTATAAGCATAGGGCAGCACTTGTCTTACTACATTTGATTTTATTCCACACTCACACACTACGAATCATGTAACTTATTCACGCAAGCTGGTGGTCATTTATTTTATTAGGTTTTTCAGTAGACATGTACATTTGGTACACTTTTCAGACTGATTTCATGATTTATTTTCAAGTTACAGTATTGACTCGCACAGCGGGTCAGTAGCACTAGTACTAGCACATGCAGTAGTAAGATATCCTGGCTGCACTGAGTAACGTTGCTCTGCTGTCTGACTGAGCATGGCCCTTGAGCTCATGTGATTACGCCCTGGAGGTCCTCCCTGGTCCATGCACGGACTGTAATGCCGCAGTGAACTAGTACATCAAAAACTTAACTCGTGTAGTGTGCTCACTCGAAGGCAGGGGGTGGGGGCAGGTGTGATTCTCTGATCTTCTGCTTTGTTTCTTTTAGAATTTCATCCTGCCCCCCCCCCCCCTTACCCATCTGGAATCTGACGCACTGCATGCAGTGTCTAACCAGAGCCTGATTACCGGCCACTTTATATAATAAGTCACTCAAGTAAATTTATAAAGTTAGCTAGTAGAACAGAACAACTAGGGCAATTGAGGCTTGTTTGCTGCTACTTCACGTTTCATGCTCTTGCAATCATCAGGCAACATGAAGATTGGGTGCCGACCATGCCGGTATATATGCCAGGAGAGGGTGGTATGAAAGCTGTGTGAGAATGTGGGGCTAGCGGTGTTACTTTACAGGAGGCTGTTTGCAGAGTGTGTGGTTGTTGAAGGCAGGGGCTAGCAGTGCAATGTTAGTGCACAATGTGTGGCTGGTGTGGGCAGGTGGTGGTGAGCAATGTGTGTGGATGTTGTAGGCAGGAGGCTATAGAGCTAGCAGTGTGATATTAGCGCAGTGTACATGTATATGGCTGGTGTGGGCAGGGTGTTATGAGCAAGGTGTGTGAACGTAAATGGTGTAGGCAGGAGGCTGTGGAGACATATTTAGGTGATACCGTGGTATTTTGGAGATACTTGTTCTCATGTCGGCACTTGGACACCATTTCCGAGCGCTTGTTTAGGCTGGATGGTGACCCTAGCGTGCTCAGGAGCATACTCCAACATCACAAAGCGGTGTTCCCTCTGTACCAGAGAAAAGTACCACATCCTGAACATGCTAGGGTCACCATCCAGCCTCAACAAACGCTCGGAAATGGTGTCCAAGTGCCGACACGAGAACAAGTATCTCCAAAATACCACGGTATCACCTAAATATGTCTCCACAGCCTCCTGCCTACACCATTCACGTTCACACACCTTGCTCATAACACCCTGCCCACACCAGCCATATACATGTACACTGCGCTAATATCACACTGCTAGCTCTATAGCCTCCTGCCTACAACATCCACACACATTGCTCACCACCTCCTGCCCACACCAGCCACACATTGTGCACTAACATTGCACTGCTAGCCCCTGCCTTCAACAACCACACACTCTGCAAACAGCCTCCTGTAAAGTAACACCGCTAGCCCCACATTCTCACACAGCTTTTCATACCACCCTCTCCTGGCATATATACCGGCATGGTCGGCACCCAATCTTCATGTTCCCTGATGATTGCAAGAGCATGAAACTTGAAGTAGCAGCAAACAAGCCTTGATTGTCCTTGTTGTTCTGTTCTGTATTGCGCTCTGCCTCCACGGTGTTGAGCACTGTCAGCACACTGGGTACATCCTCCGGTAAAGTTAGCTACAGTCCATTTCAAAACTATAGACGCGTAGGGTTTTTGAAATATTTCAAATTTGGCTGGACCTTTTTGAGAATAGTTTTCGGAATATTGCTCAGGATCGTTCCACAATTACTCTCATATAGTTTCTAAACGATTGGATAATAGACGCCCAATTTGGAAAAAATTATGCACAAAGTGATCACAGATTTTATGTGGTATAGATGCTCGCATAACGGTGTTTTGCCTAGGTACGCGTCTATAGTTTTGAAATGGACTGTAGTACTACACCGTGGCAATCGCAATGGCATGCCAGTGCTTATTTTTAAGGTGGCAGTCTGGGTTCGCGGCCCGACCGCATGAACACAGCCGTAACTTCCATAATAATTGATGAATTTTGCTCAAATCTTGACCACATACCCAGTGTATTTCACTAAGTCCAATGAAGTATAAATCAAGCTCACACATGGGAATCCGCAGACACAATAGTCAAATCTGCGATTATGCCGTACCACCAATACCTTAGACGCAATATGCAAACGCAGAAAGAAGCTGGGTAGAAACTGAGTGCTCCACAGGATTTCCTTCACATATACCTAGGTGCTAAGTGGAGCGGAATTTTGAAATCATATTCAGAACAAAGTACTCAAGCTGTCAAACAAAAATCATGCAATCGCGCAAAATTTAGGTCCTCGATCAGTAGCACTTTACTCAAAGCTCCTAGACAAATATAAAAATCCATGACACTTAGCACCTTGATAAATGCTCACAGTTTCCAAAAATGTATGGTTTATGGGGTCTGTGACTTACAGGTTCTTCGCTACGCTGTCTAAGAGGTACGGGACTCAGTGGAAAATGGAGAAAAAAGTGCTCTGTGCAAGTACCGATGGAGGTATGTCTGTCCAACTAGAACTTACTAGAACTTAGTCGAAGCCACCAGCTTCATATGTCAAACCTTCTTCCTCTTGCTGCTCATCCTGGATGCCCTTCCTGATCCTCCTTCGCTTCTTTCGTGACCTCTTCCCTTCTTCTGACTTCTTTCTGGCAGCATGTGCCTGTCTCTCACGGTCTAGCAGCTTGATGAGACGTGTCGTATGGTGTCCAGTAGGGAGGCCCATCTCGTCCAGAACGCGTTTCACTGCCACACCTCCATCATTGAACCAGGCCACGGCCAGGTAGACGCACATCTGGACAGTGGGAGCGGATGCAAAGCCTGTCTTTGGACACAACTGCCACACGAGTCCATTGAACGCTTCGTTGCGATTCTGCGTAGCACCCTTCTGGCAGCGCTCGAGCAAACTCCGGTCGGACAACCGAATGTAGACCGGCTTCAGTTCCTTCCATACTGCCTCTGGCAGGATATTGTGGTGGGCGTAGACATCACCACCTGCCTGTTGCTGCTGCCATCTACACCAGCTGTTAATTCCAGGCGGACAATACTGGTGCTGAGGTTTACTGTCGCTGGATGCACGATGCATGAGGGATGCCCATATGGCCCTGGCCATGGCTTGCAAGTCTCCGCTGTTGTTCCGCACAGCCATGCCATAGTAGGCTTGCAGCTTGTCGATCATGGCATCCGTGAGGCGACCACGTCCGCCTATAGTGCGCCCATCAGCAAGCTTCTTGCCCGCAAGGTTTTTCTTCAGCTTTCTTAGGCTGGTACCGATGCGTTTTTGAACGTGGCCGACACATTCCTCCTTGACTACAGGCACCTCGGGCCCATACGGACAAGCGTCACGCACAGCCTTAAAACTCTTGGTATCTCCATCACCAATGTAGGTGGTGTACCTCAGCTTGCGGCTCTCAAAGGACCTGGCCCACAGAGTCTTGGCGGCTGCACTCTCCATGGCAGGAGCTGATACAGTGGTGTTGACTGAGCAATCGTGTTCGGCAATCTGTTGATCATAGTCATCTTTGGTTAGCTCTCCCTTCTCTTTTCTAGACGCCAAGTGCGTGCACTTGTGGCAAAACTTTGAAAGCACTTCGCAGTCCACCACTTTGCCGACATCATATGCAATTATAGTGAAGGCTCCGAAGAGCGATGCGAATCCTCGGCGCATCCAGGTACCGTCATAGGAAGCAGCGATATCGCTACCCCCATCTGCTGCGGACACTGCTTTCTCAGCTGCCTCAGTCATGCTACGCTCAGCGACGCTCTTGGACGCGGAATGCAGGCCTTTAGCATGGCTGTAAAATGTCGACCGACTCATAGGTGATGGCATATTCAGTGCACCCGCCAGCTTTACCATTGATTGACGTCCACGGCCAATCAGTCGCATTCCGAATACTGCTCGTCTGTTCACCTCCCAGACCCGATTGAACTTCTTGGACATAAATTCGCTTGCTATGTAGCCGCAGTTAACACAGGAAAGCTCCAGGCATGATGCAAGGCCTCCCCGTTGCGATTCGCTGATCGTGACTGCGCCATTACAGCCACTGCAACAAACTGCAGCTGACAAAAGCTGCTGAAGGCACTCGAGATCAATCAGGCGAAATCCATGCGCCCCTTCCTCACACTCTTCATCCAAGTCACTGTCGGAGGAACTGCTGTCGACTTCACCGCCACTTCCATCACTATCGCTGTTTGAAGACGTGGCTTCAGCTGGCACTTCAAGGTCGTCATCAGACAGTGGCAAGTCAGGAATTTGTTCTGCAGGCGAAATTTCACCAGAGGGAGCCTTCGGCGCCTGAGACACTCCATAGAACGTTCTTTTCCTTTTCTTAGATCGTCCGGGCTTTCCCTTGGCTCTAGACTTCCCCATAGTAGCCAACGAAGGGGTTAGCTCCAAGAAACAATTACTCCAAAACAATTACTCCAAAAGTAACTAGTTTCAACAGCAGAGCGATCAGCTGAGATCATGAGAGTCGAAATTTGAATTTTTTTGAATTTGCGCATGCGCAAAAGTTATCTTGGTTGCCATGGTGACAAACATCGTGCGCGGCTGTCAGTCTGCAGCGCAGAGGAGTACCAGGAGTCGCTCCAGAAAATTTTAATGAAATCGCTCAAAGATTGACGGTAAAAATCGGAATAGTGTGCAAACCTAAATTTTGTAGAAATTTGCTGATATTTCAGTATTTCAAAAACAATTGTGCAGACTTTGCGCGGCTATATCTCCGGAAGGAAGCACCCGATTACGCTCAAATTTTCAGGATAAACCCTTTCGACCATACACAAGACGCTGCCAGTGAAAAAATACAGAAAATCGAAACTTTGTTTTTTGACCCTCTGAACCCAGACTGCCACCTTAATTGGAGTACAATGTACTGCAGCATTACTGCATTATGCATACAGCCGGAGTAGATGGGCCTCTCAAATTTCAGACAATCCGCTTTTTTCAAATTGGAATGTTGAGTCCCCCTTTTTGCGGATTGCAAGGCTATTGTTATGTGTATGACATAATTATGTATCTTATGTGTACTACTAGGCACTGGCCCGTGCCGGGGTCCTTGACTCCTTGTGTTTCTATCACTGTCAAGTGAATCATCAGTGCTGCTGGAGTGTCACAAGTTCCTGACATAGGGTGTAGGGATGGGGTGGGGATCATTGGGAACAGTTTACAGCTGCTCCCTCACGGCCGGCATGGCACCGCCTGCGTGGATAGTGGCTGCATTGACGCCATTGCAATTATTTACAGTTTGCTGGTGGTACCTGGTGGAGTGGAGTGGTAGCAGCCCGACAGTGGTACAATGATGTACTGGTCCCAGCTGGCCTGGCCACAAAATAGCTACCACATGTAGTACGTGTACATGTACATGCATTGACAGATTTGTACATACCGGTATTACTAGTGGTATCTCACCCAACACGTTGCAGTGTTATTGTTGCAGCTTAGTCCTGCACGAAGTAAGTTGCAGCACCAATACAACGTCATTGTATTGGTGCCTGTCTGTCTATGTTAGTGAGAGGCTGGCTCACACTTCTTGATGGCAGGATCATTCCAGCACAGGCTGACACTTCTGTCCAGTGTAAGTAAAGTAATAGTGACTTAGTTACATGTACACTGTAGTTGTGACACTGCCAGGCAAAACTGCTGGATGCAGTGATGCATGATGACCCAGCTGCCCTTCAAAAACACTGAGAACGATGCAGATTATGTGTAGACACATTTACATGGCATGCTATGCTGCACTATGTCATGTACAAAATTAAAAAATTGTAGCACTGGCAATGCACTGGCATTGCTAGCACTGCCACTGGTGTAGACTAGTCTGTACTGTATCTGAATACTCAGAATAGTCTGTCTACAACAAGGAGGACTGGCATGGGCCGTATGTATATACCATGTTATACCATGGTACGGTACGGAGGGCCTGTTTTCAGCCAATCAGCGCTCGTCTAGCCATGGTTATATTGGCCAGTATAAATCCCGCGCGGGATTTATATAGAATATAAATCCCGGATCCCGGTGCACGGTACGTACGCTAGGGCACTGCCACCGTACATGTTCACTGATGAAAGGCAGTGAACTTGTACGGCGGCAGTACTCCAGCGCACGGACCATACATAAACAGACACAACGGACACCACATGCACGTGTACACTCTACACAGAACGGCACACTGACGAGGAACAGTACACAATGGAAAAGAAGAATGACCTGGAATTCGTCTACAGAGTATTCTGTTATACTGAATCTGAGGATAAAGAACGTCGAATAACCACGAAGTATCCCGAATGGGTAAGCAATGTACATTGTACTTCGAAGAGTTGAAGATCATCAACAGACTGTCTCCTTCGTAAATAAGTTTATAATACCAGTGTACATGTACTTCAACCCGATTGGAAAAGGCTACAATAGATTGGATTGAAATGTGATACAAAACAGTGCATGCAAATGCATCTACTTGCAAGCAAAACTGATTATAAGATGCCGCATGTGAAAATCAGCACTGTACCATAATTATAGTAACACTTACTCCCAAAGAGTCTGTAATCTAACTAGTGACGGTAGTTTGATTCAACGACAAACTCCAACACCGCAGCAATTCAGTCGACTTCCGCACCGCTCACGACTCAAGACAAGATCATGAAGATGCTACAATATGCACTGGTACTGAAAGGAAATCTTATACCAAACATCCACGGAGGAATCTCCTTCTGACCTTGCTCGACCATTCTTTCAATTGACAACTGATAACCATCAGAAGATGTTCATGTACTGCATGATGTAGGAGATCTCCAAATAGGTTCGTTGTTCTGGAAATGCGTAGGGGTACCTGGCATAAGTAGGATATGACCCTCGTAGTCGGGTTATACCGTACCCTCATATAAATCCCTCCTGCTATCGCAGTCGGGATTTATATTCAGCCGGTATAACCCTCTGACTCGGGTTATATCCTCTACGTATACCAGTATACAAAAGATCAAAAACCAGGGAGTAGTAAAATACATTGTATCTGGTATACCATAGTATACGTGGTCTGTATACCAGGTATACTGTACTGTGTATTTTACTACTCCCTGATAAAAACGCTGCATCACCGATTGCGAAGCACGTGCTTCGCGTGCTGAATCTGTCATGTCAAAGCTCACGTGCGCATGCACTGACCTCGTGCGGCGGATGATTTCTCTCAAACTCCAACTCTTTGTGCTGCTCAAAAACTGCGTGGTGCTGATGATCTGCTGACCACCTTTTTGGAAAGCATCATGATGACTGCATGACGCTTCGACGAGCAGCACCGATACGATCAGCCACTCACTGCACTGCCAACGCACTTTCTAGAAGCTGAACAGCTGATGAAAAATCCTCCAGTCCTTGAGTGGAAATGAGGGAGAGGAAAGGTCCAGAAACATGCTCAGCCAACGAAGCCGATGGAGCTTAGAAAACGTCTCGCTGCCCGCCGGTGAAGCCAGAATGGTTCGTCGTAGGTTGCCCGTCTAGTTGTCGAATTTCGCTCTTTTCAAGCCAGAGTTGTGGAAGTTCTTGATGTTCAGCACGATGTCCAAATTATTTGCTCCAGGCATGGATCTCAGAGCTAGCGGAAAGCAATACGAATCCACAGAACCTATCTCGGCACTGGTAGCTTCGAAACAGCAAACCTTGAACAAAGTGGACTATCCGAGGAAGTTGAATATCTCCCGTAACCTTTTACAAACCATATCGTCCGATTTCTTCTCAGCACTAACTGGCATCGTAGAACTTGACATCAGTGACAATCGACTGAAATTGATTGAACCTGGCCTCGCGCAGCTTCCACATCTAACAACTATTGATTTGAGAGGCAATAGCCTCCACACTCTTCCCGACGACTTCCCTCAGTGCTCATCGCTGGAGGAAGTAAATCTGGGAGAGAATGCACTCGAGGCCTTTCCAATTGCTCTATTTTCGATGCCAAATCTCAAGAAAGTCTACTTAGCGTCAAACAAAATAACGAAGCTGCCAAGCGAAATCAAGAAAATGACCAGGTACGTTGCTGCTTAGCTAGTACGGTCACCTAGCTGCTTATGTTCTGGTAGAAACTTTATTTCAACCCTGTCCCCATTTTGTTTTATAGGCTTTACAATCTGGCAACTGGCGGCTGGGAGTGTGCTTGTGTTCCAGTTGAGCATGATGACGATTTTGATTTTTGTTTCCTGCATACGGCCATGAGTTGTGTGATCAAAGTGGGAGCCAATCGATCTGATTCTGCAAATAATAATTGGCAGTGGTTAAAAGCTGTTAAAGTGTTCTAACTTCTCATGCTCCTGAATCTTGCCGTACTTCTTCTGTCTGTCCTGGCTGTGCTGTGTACAGTCTGGAGGTTCTCTTTCTCGGCGACAATCGGTTATCAGCATTGCCAGATGAGATTGCAGAGCTCGCTAACCTTGGTTCTCTAACGGTATCGCACAACCAGTTGACGTCCGTGCCGCTTGCAGTGTGCGAAATGCACAACCTCGTGTCACTGCAGCTGCACAACAATCGCCTGGAGACACTGCCGCCGGCTCTGCTGCAGATGGTCAGCCTTCACGAGATCAGCTTACGCAACAACCCGCTGGTCAGCCGTTTTGTGCGGGAACATGTTGACGAGGTGAGGCTGCTTGAAAGTACGCTCTGGGTGCCTGCTGTTGTAGTTTCAGGCCCTGTGCGGAAGGGCACGCTTTCCTTGCCAGCGCAATAGTGCTGTTCATTGGGCAGGATGATAAGGAAGTGCATACTGTCAGCACATGCACAACAAAGCAGAGAAATAGCCAGTATCAGCCCAACTGATATACTTGCCAGCTAGCTTTCCCAGTACAGTCAGACCTCGCTTAACCGCACACATCCATTTTCCAAATAAATGTCCGGATAGGCGAGGGAACTGGATAACCGAACACCGGTTATGTTGGACGCATCACATATGCTGTAAATCTGTAACCAGGTATCTTCTTCCGGATGGCGAGGGATCCGGATAAAAGAGGACCGGATAAGCGAGGTCTTACTCTATCTAATTATGATTAACTTGCCGGCTGGCTTTGAATTATAATTATGCGGCTAAGATGTTTGCTACTTCCCTGCATGATGCTATTTGGTGGTATGGTATCTTTTTATTTTAGTCATCAAGCAACCAGGCATGGTGCCTTCTCACCAGCTATGGGCTGGCGCCCACAGAATGATTTAAAATGAGTAGTATAAGAGAGGACCTTTGCCTGGAGATTGCCAGGTTGCAGTGAAGGGTTTTGCATCGAATGAAGTGAAGTCCATGTAAACAACACTGTGGAGTGTAGGTATGGGGCAGTAGGTTCGAAACTTGATTTGAGACATTGGACCCACAACCCACACCCCCTCTGAGTGTAAGTTTCAAAACTGCCTCGAAGTCTTTGCTTGTCTGCTGTTACCTTTCGCTGCAGGTGCCATCGTTAGGAGAACTGGCAGCGCGAGCTGTGCGTAACGGCGGCGTGTCTTATTCCAGCGAGAATCTGCCGCCTCTGCTCGTGGCGTATTTGGACTCGTCGCAGCGCTGCGACAATCCAGCCTGCCGCGGCGTCTACTTCCACACGTCCTACAAGCAGGTGGGTGCTGGTGTAGCTCAATGTTGACTTGCGTGTTTTCTGGTGGCGACCAAGGTCCACTGCTGTGTTATTAGATTGTAAACCATGGGGATTTGTACAAGGCAAAATAACAGTATCACCCTGCTGTTGCTTTCCGAATATTGGAGAAACTATAGTTGCCAATACAGTTATCATTCACCGTCTGGTTTTCATTACTTTTGCTGGTAAAAAGGCGTAGCTGTGGAGATAAGGAGCAAAGCATTGTGAGGAAATTCACTGTCCTCACTGTCTCAACAAGGAACATTGATTGCTTTGTCACTAATTTATAATAGTGTTGGAATGTGAGCTAAACCAGTAATTCATCCAAAAATAGCCTATGCGGCTTATACTACAGCGGGCAAGTTCATGGTGATAAACAGGGTAGATGTGTGTATTTCATGGCACAACATCTGGGTGCGGCTTATACTCCGGAAATGCAGTAACTTTGTCTTCCTCACACCTAGATACATTGAAGTTAGCAGTCTGAATTCCATTGATTGCGTTGCCACTTTAATAGTGTTGGTATAATGTTAGTTGAGTCTGATGAGCGATTGAATTCATAGGTGAGCGTGTATGCTCTTTTTTCTGCTGTGCTTATCCTGCTCACACTGCATGTTTGGTGCTCATTTGCTGTCCACTGTTCAGGTGAAGTTTGTGGACTTCTGCGGCAAGTATCGCATTCCATTCCTGCACTATCTGTGCTCACCGCAGTGCCACCAGGCCGTGCCGGGACACAGCTCAGCGTTCAGTGGCCAGAGCCAGAGCTCCAACGACGACACGGGCGATGAGTCCGAGCAGGAGCGGCGGAAAATGCGGCGAGTCCTCTTGCCTCTAACCTAGTCCTGTCGCTCCCACCTGAGTGGTGCCCCCGACCCAAGTACCCGCCGTATCCCTCCGCTTCCCGTTGAGTCGCTGCCCCGATCAGTTTCTAGCATTCCCAACCGCATCCGCTTTTCGCAGCTCGTGCTAGCTTACCGCAGCCGCGTCTGCTTTCCTTCTTGGCAGTTCCTAATATTTGTGAGCCGTTGAACATTCTTATATCAAGCTGCCTGTATCACCACCCACACCATCACCATGTCCCTGATGCAACTCCTTATCTTGTCGCTTCTATTCAAACCTTTACTCGGCCGGTCACGGACTTATCATATTATTTATATATTCTGCTCCCGGGCCAATTGCGTCTTGTCCCTTTGCGTACCCGTGCAGTGCACGGTTCTCTTCTCCCGTACTTTATTCATAGGTGTAGCGTGTACTATGCTCTTGATCCCTGTTAGGTGTGCTCTCTGTCTTTCTCTGTCTCTCTTTCTTTCTTTCTCTGCCTCTCTCTCGTTTTTTAGCTCGGCGCTGTGCGCTTGTTGAGTCGTGTAGGAGCTTCTAATTTCGTTTCATGTCTTTTTCTGTCATTGCTGTGCGCTTGATTTTTTTAGCAGAGCCCATGCTGAGCATTGCTCGCAGCTTTTTTTCGGCCTATTTACTTCTCGCTGACGCGCGACACTGATCATTGGTCTCTCTCTCTCTCTCTCTCTCTCTCTCTCTCTCTCTCTCTCTCTCATTCTCTCTCTCATTCTCTCGGTCTCTCTCTCACTTTTTTTTATAACAATGATTTTCCAATCTGCTGTATGCTTTCGCGTATGAACTGTCCCCACACTGTGCAGTACATGTACATCTAGAGAGAAACACATTATGCTTGATCGCTTGACATTCGGCACAGCAATTTTTTTGTGCCGTGAACTACTTGTGGCTGACGACGTTTGGTGTGATGGGCAGGCTTCCAAGCAAATTGCCTCGTGCTTTGGGACTTGCATTGGACTGCCGCGTTTCTGCGGGCAACCGTGATCCACTTCAAATGAACACTCCATGCACTTCACGCCATTTACATGTAGCCGTTTTACAATCCTCAAAGAACTTTACCAGGTTGTTCACATGTGCCAGTATCAAGAGATTCAAGAGTACTAGTATCAAGAGTATATAACCCCCCATCATATACTCTTGCCGGTATGCACAACTTGCCATCACCATAATAACCACAAGCCGGTAATTAATACCAGCATGTGGGGATTGCGATCCCTTCCTATTTGCAGTTATTCTCCTTGGGTGTGGGGTGGATGGTGGACTTAAATGCAAATAGTTACATCATGCGGAACACCTCAAGTAACAAGTAGTTAGTTCATAGATTAGATCCTTCTGCACATATACAAAAAAGTCATGTATACTCAGGCCCGGCGGACCTGGTCCGCTTGGTCAGGCGATGTCCGGACCAACTTTTTGACGACCAACGTGTGTTTGCTGCTGATGAGGTCATGTGTATCCCCTCCAAATCATAGCAAGAGTTCATAACCCCGGGGGTTATGAACTCTTGATCATTGTCATACACAAAGTATGAAAGGTTAGGGCATGGCCGGAAAAATCAAAAACTGCTTCCGCTGGTACATGGTCCTGCATGTTCCCTCATTTTTTAAAGAGCATAATTATACTAGTGGTGTGTGCATTTGCACGTGCTGTGAACAAGTCGATCGGCCAGCTGGTGAGCCACCCTGATCACTGGTGTCCAGGCATCTGCAGAACACCTGACAAGCTGTGACAGATGGTCCGAACTCCGGATCCTGACTACACTCCACAGATCTAGTTGCAGGCTAGGCCAAGTGCACAACTACCGGTATGCTCCTGAACAATGTATACAATAATCATGTGTTGTTGACCTAAACACATGTCATCTGTTTGTTTCAAGTTTGGAATCTGCGCTGAATAATGACAAGAGAATAATAATTATGTATAATTATAATATACACTCGGTCCCTTGTTAAGGGGGCAGCCTACCCATAAATTTCATATGGCATTCAATTGACCGTAACTTTGGTGTTTCTCAGTGGATTTGAGTGAAATTTTGACCACACACTCCTGCCACTATGCTGGCCCTCAGGACATGATTTACAAGTTCTTGCGCCTTACTGACAGGCTTTCCAGGCCGGAAAAACTCAAATTTCCGGCATAGTGCCACGGTGTGCGAGCCACCCAGGAGTCAAACAAATGCATTTACATTTTTTCACATTTTCGTGCCCATTCTGTCCGTGCGCGGGACCCAAACCTAAAACAAGTCCAGAAGCAGCCATGGGTGGTGGGGTAGGGCCCCTCAACGTGGCCCTGGAATCTGTCACAACGGAACGAGTGGGCGTTCTCTCGCGGACTCCCACAGACCCAAGTCAATTTTTGAATTTTTTAGGTTTAGGGTGTGCTACGAGGTCGTACCTTTGATACAACATCCAGTGCTGGGACCTCCACAGCAAGCCATTTCCACAGCGCTGCACACCAAATCCAGGATGCCCTCAGAAACCGGCAAAGACTGCCACTCACGTTTCACTACTGCCTAGTACTGAATCCTACCTGACTTCTTGACACGACTCAAACTTGCCAAAGTCACAAAATCAACGTCAACTACAATAATCAAGCCACATATCTGCAACGTCACGAGGGTGCTGGCAAAAGTCCTGCTGCACGGCGGCGGGCTTCGCCCGCCGCCGTGCAGCCCAATACGTGGTTTTTTAACGTGATTTTTTGGACTTTTTTGGACTTGTGGGGCAAAATTCTGCACACTTTCGCGTGTTTCCATAATACGACAAGTTGCGCACGGTCTGCTCACATTCAAATACAGTGCTGCCAACAAATGACAGCATGCAACAAAAAAATCTTTCCTTGCAAGGGCACATTTTCGGCCATAACTCTTGAACGGCTGGTCAGATATAGGGACACAATTTTCAGAGAATTTGCAGCTATTCATGCTCTTTTAACTGACGTAGCACTCAATATGAATTTACAAATTCGATTTTTCAGCGAATTTTTGGGTAGTCTGCCGCCTTAAATTATAACAAAGGACCGAGTGTATATGTATAGGATATTGACCGAGACGAGGTCTATGTGGGAAATATAGGCCGAATAAAAGACCGAGGTCCTACAAGCGGTCGATATTATGGCTATATGGGAAATATAGGACCAGTCAAGGATCACAAGAATTAGTGCAGGGCGATATACAAGAGTGATAAGTATAGATTATAGACCGGTTAGGAGGTCTATACAGGATATATAGACCGAGTAAAAGACCGAGGTCCCCCGAGGTCTTTTACGAGGTCTACATGTATATATCCTGTATAGACCAACTATGAGGTCTATAATCTATTTATCGTGTTCTCCACGCAATAGTTTCTCTTCATATACGACATATCCTTGTAATTCTAGTATTATACTATAGCCTATACTGCATTGTACTGCATTGAAAGTCAAGATCATTGTTTAAACTAGGTTTAGCATCGGTAGCACAGTGGCTGGGTGGTAAGGAAGAGTGACTGAGATTCACAAGGTTGTGGGTTCAAATCCCATCTTGTGTATTTCTGCTTTCTTCAAAAATTTCTTTTCTAAGTTGGAGAGAAAATTTCTAAGTCCAAGAAGTAATAGTTCTAAGGATCTAGGAGTCAAATATAAGTACAGTCAGACCTCGCATAACCGCACACATCCGTTTTCCACAAAATTATCCGGATAGGCGAGGGAACCGGATAATCGAACACACATACTGTATGTAAGCATGGCATATGCTGTACATTTGTAACCAACTATTTTCTTCCGGATGGCGAGGGATCCGGATAAACGAGGACCGGATAAGCGAGGTCTGACTGTAGTCAAATATATCGTGTATTTGACTAAGGCCACCCTTTCTTTTTTCGTTGTTTAACGTCCGCGCCCGCGTACCTTTTTGCCTCCGACCGGAAAAAAAACAAGAAAGTAGTAACTTGTATTGTGGCAACACTGGCCAACACTTAGATGCACTGCTTCTTCACACAGCTGAACAATTCTTCTTTCTTCTCAACGTTGACGCCATCGAGGACAAGTTTCAATGGAAATCCCGCTGCTATCAGAACTTCGTCGCATTTAGAGCTGATCTGCGGCAATACACCAGGGAAGAGTTCCTTTGGCTCCGGGGCCTGTGTGACGCCGTCCGTACTGAGGAGAAAGCTAACTCTACACAGGGACTTTCCAAAAAGCTCGGCCGACTGAGGGATCAAGCAAAGGCTATGACCACAAGCCATGGACGAAGCAACATACCGTCCATGATGGGTCGCAGTACCCATGATCGGTCGGGCTCTGTTCTCACCTTGGACGATTGTATATCCCAAGAAGTCGCTGGACTACTGCAGAATGGTCCAGGGTTTGTACCGTCCACAGGCAGTGTCAGCAGAAGGGACATGGAGGATGTGGAGGTCGGCATTGAGAGGATGGCATACTCCCTTCGCTGGTGGAATAACGCAATAACCTATCCGGATGGTTCTCCTAGTGATACCCCAGACACGTTCGACAGTAAGATCTGGCATATTAAGGCGCATGGCTTCGAGCAGGGACCTAAACTACCCAAAGAAGAAGAGTTCCAACTCGCTAAGTTCAAGCGGGACGTCATGAACGCTTATCGAGCAGCTCGGGCCCCGCCCTCCAATATGTCTCAGTCGGATCGCACACAGCTAAGGAAGATCCACGAGAATAAGTCGGTTATCATCAAGAAGTCGGATAAGAGTAACAAGTTCGTGGCAATGAAAATGTCTACGTATCTAGAAAAAGCCGAGGCTCTTCTCTCCGACGATTCCAAATTTGAACTTGTCAACCTCACCATTGACGACTGGGAGAAGGAGACCCGCACTATCATTGAGCGGATCTGCAAAACCACGCTGGAGAAGGATCTTTACCAAGCTATCCTCCCAGGCGATAATAAGTTTCCGGAAATGTATGGTCTGCCCAAAGACCATAAAGCAGGAGTGCCATTGAGACCGGTAGTGTCAGCCTGCGATAGTCCAGTCACCAATGTCTCCATCTTCCTAGAGCGAATACTTAACCAGTGTCTCAAGTTCATCCCAGCTCACCTCGAGAATACAGTGGAAGCATTGGACAGCATACGCCAGCATTACCCCGACCTTCAAGCTCCACCCGGAACCATTGCAGTGACCATGGATGTGGTTGCCCTCTATCCTAGTATCCCCATCGTGGACGGTATTGAGGCAGTTACCAGAGTTCTGCAGCAGCATGTCAGTGATATCGACACGTTTGGCCTGAGTATTCTCCAGATCAAGGAGCTGCTGTCATTCGTCCTGAGATCCAATTATTTCCGTTTCGGCTCCATGACCTACCATCAGAGAGAGGGCGTAGCCATGGGTAATAATCTGGCACCCCCCTTCGCCATTATATTTATGCACGACCTCGAAAGGTCACTGTTGCAGTCTGCGCCCGGCGCTCCTGTATTGTTCAAGAGATACATCGACGACATCATCATGCTGTGGGTATTAGGATCGGCGCTCCTCTGTCGTTTTATTCAACACTTCAACGATGGTAACCCACTGATCAAATTTACCCACCAGTCCACAGAAGAAACGTGCTCCATTGACTTCATGGACACCACAATCCATGTGTCAACAACTGGAGCCATTTCATACGAGCTCTTCCGCAAACCATGTCACAGTGGCTTGGTGACTGACTACAAATCCGCCGTTCCATATCAACAAAAGTTCTCAATTGCCTCTTCCGAATTCCTCCGTGCCTCTCGACTATCATCGGATAATGAGACGCGCCGGAGGAGTGAAAAGAAGGTCATCGACGTGCTGAAATTCAACAATTTCCCCCAATCAGTGATTGACAAGGCCCGGGAACGAGCTGGACGACCGACAGGACCCAAACAGAAAAAGGACTTTCGCACAACACTCAAGCTGCCATTCAAAACCGATCACATCCACAAGAAGGTGCAGTATCTCATTCGCAAATATCAGCTGAACACCCACATCATATACAAGAATGCTCGGCTCAGCTCGCGGGTTTGCAGGTCTGCTTTGGACAAGCCCCTATGCCGCAAATTCGTTGATCCACAGCAGCCAAGGAGAAGGGGAAGACCGAAATCAGCTTGCGTGGCATGTACAGCAGGGGCAGTGGACTGCACCCGCCGAAACGTGGTATACCACCTCGAGTGCCGTTGCGGTGATGACTATGTGGGTGAAACTGGCCGAAGCGTTGCGACAAGGTCAAGGGAGCACAACGATAATGCACGCAACGAGGTCCGAGGGAAGGCGCTGGGTGAGCATTACCGGATCTTCCATGCCGATGAGCCATTGTCGCTGGGGCAGACCGGATTCGCCAACGTCTGTGTGCTTGCGACTGAGCCAGACAGGGCAAGGAGAAGGATTCGGGAAGCGGTCAAGATCCGGGACATGGAGCCTAATATCAACACCAGCAGTGGTTGGGATCTCCTGTGAACTCTGGTTGCCTGGCTTTTTCATTGGAGTGATGGCTATCCATGTGAAACCTTAGCACCCACAAATTGTACGTATCACCACCCTAGACTTTAGCATTATGTTGGCACTGTCCACACTACTGTAGTCATGTGGCACAGGTTGTACATAATTATCACCGCCCTAGTCTTTCACACGGAGGACTAGCACCCCTATTGCGATCATGTGGCATGTGTCATTTTTTCGCTTGGGAGTTGTTTTTTGTTTCGTTTTGTTCTCCCCGCTGTATTCCGCACGCACCTAGCCAGCTTGTTGTTTTAAAGTCTGCCTTGCTTCCGTGTCTGCTTCATCCTGAAGATGGTCAGAGTGACCGAAACGTTGAGAAGAAAGAAGAATTGTTCAGCTGTGTGAAGAAGCAGTGCATCTGAGTGTTGGCCAGTGTTGCCACAATACAAGTTGCTATAATGAAGCTGCGTGAAGCGTCGTTCCGAATTTATAAGAAAGTAGTAGTACCAATAATAATGCGAAGTTGTAATTACATGATTGTGTAGTTTCACAGTGTGCCGATCATGACCTTAAACTTATAATCTTGCCTCCCGGGCATGCCTTTGTCTTGTGTTCTTTTTCTTTTTTTGTTGGCTTTTAAATATCGTACGGTGTGTGTCCTAGTAAAAATCCAGATGTAATGAATTCATGACATGCTAACTCCATGCTATGTACCTGTTTTGCTAGATTCATCAGGCATGTGCTCCAATGTACCATCAAAGAGTGTTGTTCTATGCCTGCAAGTGCCGTTAGACCCAGAAATATTGTATATATCACATGCTTTACTGGTCAAAATGTTTGATTGGGGTTTCCAGTTTTTGGAATGGGCTTTTGTTTTTTTCCGCCCTCCCGCGTACCTTTTCGCGAAAAAAAGGACGTTAAACAATGAATTAACAAAGGGTGGCCTAAGCAGTCAAATACGCGATATATTTGACCGCTAGGTATCAGGGAAATTAGTGGGGTCAAATACTAAGAAGGCGATAACGAGAAATATAGACCAGTATAAAAACCGAGGCGAAACCGAAAAGCTTATACTCTTGTCTCTTGATAATGGGCATGCCTGGAAGGAAATTTTAAAAGAATTTAAGATTCCCCTTATCCCGACAGTCCCCAAAACTCAGGAGGGCATTCTAACCCTCTTGAGGCACAAATAAGTGACTTTCAATGGAAAATGGCATCGGAAAGTTAGGATTGGCATAACACGTGTCTACTTCAGTGCTATAGAGAGGTTTCGCAAGGCGTTTTTTTTGTGACGTGAAATTTGGCATTGGAAATGGCATGCTTGCGAGTATTTTCTGAGTGGCGGGCAATGCCCAGTCTCAACTCTCAACGTGATCGGACAAGGGCTGTTCTACCATGGAGTAGTAAAATATCGTATTTTCACGACTCCCTGGATCTACTGTACACTCCATCACAGCAAATTAACTACCTTGGGTAATTACTTCGTAAGCCACCAGTTGGACAAGGGCACTACCACTGTAAGCTTGATGACTACCTCACATAAAACACCAGTCAGCATGCATGCAACAAAATGGCGAAATCAGTTTTGAGGGAAAATGAGTCGATAGTGCTATGCAGTGGCAATAGAAGACAGAGGACAGGCGCAGCAGCTGGCTAGTATTTTCTCACTTTCAAAGCTGTTCTACTCTACATGAACATCATGCTGGCATATGTACAACACGCGGTCGCACGCCACGAGGTGATATGCTCTTTTCCACTTTGATTCTCCATGCATCACTTGCATCAGCTGTCACGGTGTGTATGTACTGATACGTGCATCGTGTACATATATCATACTACTAGCACGTTGATCTTCCTGTTGCCTAGTTTTCGGCAAAGTAACTCAACGTGCCGGTGTTCAGACATGACCGCAGCGTCGGAACTGCTCCTCCAGGCTGGCCAGCACCCAGTCGAAATCCGGCCGGTCCACCGGATCAGCCCGCTGGCACTCTTCGATCAGGTGGCGAAAGGCATACGGCATGTCTGCCGGCAACGTCAGAGAGCGTCCAGCAATGATCTCCTCGCGGATGGCACTGGCAGTGTGGAACTGACCGTACGGCAGCTGTCGAGTGTAGATTTCCCAAAGGATGACGCCAAAGCTGAAGCGGCGGAAGCAAAAGCAAAAATCGCCAAGATTGGAAAATACTAAATAGCCAGTCAGAACGGAGCAGTGGTGCAACCGGGTCTAGCCCCTACTTTCGTTGCATGCAGTGTTGCCAGACTTTCCAGCCCTCAGCGGGGCAGTCCCGCTTTGGACCACAACATTTGTATATCCACATGTACATGTACTTGAAGTACTGAACGAGAGATACCCAGTCAGTGTATTCACTATGTAGATAGTTATCATATGAGTGTCCCATTTTTTTGATGTGGTGGCGAGTCAAGTTTGGACAGCTGTGTTTCAACCTGGCATATCTTGGAATGTTGAATTGCCGTATGATGATCTTAGAAGGAACTCCACTTTAAATAAAGCCAAACAAACAAACACAAACAAGGCACGGCTTCTTGTGTGAAAGCTGCTGGGACTGGTATGGCTGGATGACAGCAAGTCAATGACAGGTCATGAGTTGAGCAGTAGAACAACAATCCTGTAATGCCCGTGTTTAATGTTTTGAGGGGCTGGGGGCTCGGGGTGTGAGGGCTGGCTCCGAGAGAGAAATTTTAGCGATATCAGATCCAAATTTCTGAATTCCGAGCATTTCAGATGTATCCTACACTGGAATAGTACCGGACTTTTTGGGGGAAATTTTGCAGGCTTCTATACGAGACAGGCTTCTATACTAGGCAGGCATTTCTAGAGATTTCAACACTAAAACCAGGCTTATATGCCGACAGTGCATCTTGAAAATCAGGCTTGTATTCAAAACATGCTTCTATATGAGGCAGGCTTTAATACAAGACACTACGGTATGCAGAAAACTGAACAGTGACAAGTGATCTGTTCACAATCGATCAAGAGAAAACACTAGCCTTTTAGGCCCCTTAGCCCCCCCCCCCCTCCCCCCCCCCCCCCCCCCCGCCTCTACTTAGCCATTGCCGAGCCACCGTGCTCACAGCAGAGACTTGTGTGTGTGTGTGTGTTATTGTTGTGAAAGTGGACTGCAAAGACAGTGATTTTACCAAGAAACTCACCTATATACATCTGTTTTCTCCGAGTATGGCTTAGACTGCAGAAGCTCCGGTGAGCGCCATCGGATGTCGTCAATGTTGCTGTCTGTCTCCATCAGGTCCAGGCACGTGTCTGTTGCGCCATGCTCACTGTTTTGCAATAACGGAGTTTTCAGATCACGACCCAAGCTCCGCGCCTTGTGCTGCTGCAATGCTTTCGATGATGATCCTGGCGAGGTGGATGGCTGCTCGGCAGTAGCAATGTCCATGAAATGAGCGGTGGCCAGATCGGCAACCTTCACCACCCACTTGTCGCTGACGAGCAGGTGCGGCGTCTTGAGGTTGCGGTGGATGCGCGGCGGCGTGCGGTCGTGCAGGTGGTGCATGGCCCTAGCAATGTCGCACGAGAACCTCACGTGATCCTGGTGATCGAATATGCTCTCGGCATCGTGCAGCACATCGAACAGGGAGCCGCGTCGCAGGTACTCCATGACGTAGAAGCTGCTGTGCCGGCCCGTGGTGCCTACTGTACCTGCTCCCAGGAACGTGACGATGTTAGGATGGCGGATGGAGCGCAGGATCTCGGCTTCCTGCGCGAACAGATCGTACGGCGTGAGCGTGCTGCTCTCCAACGGCAGGGTTTTGACCGCAACGAGCATGTCGAACATCTCGGCTGCCCAGACACTGTTCTTTGGTCCCTCGGAGAGCTTTTCCCGGAGCTTTAGAGAAGACCAGTCTATGATTGCACCATTGTTCAATTGGTCCAGCTTCTTGACCGAGATGGCAAGCTCCTTGTACTTGTCACTGAGTTCAGCTTCCTTCTCTCGCAGGTCACTTTTTTGGCGGCAATACCTGCGAACGTGGACAAAGCATGCAGCTATCATGATCAAGAAGATTGCCACAGCAAGCTGGGAGAGGTACACGAATGGGACGTGGCAGTTATCATACGGCAGGAAGCCAAAGCGACACTCGCACATTGCCGTGAGTGCTCCCTCGCTGACGATGCACCGTCCGTTGCCGTGGCAATGTCCTGGTGTGCATGGCGACGGAAGCCGGCACAGCGTGGCGCCCGTGCCGTTCGTCACCAGAGGCTTTCGGCAGAGCTTACAGCGACCACCGTAGGTGTCGGAAAAGGCACCCTGATGGCACGGCTCGCAGGTGTTGGCGGTGGTGCGCTCCTGCCCAACTGGGCATTCGTCCGTGTTGCGAACCGCGAAGACGTTCGGGTTGCACTTGCGTGAGTGGCTCAGTCCGTTGTTCAATGGCCGCTTGGAAATCACGGACAATGCCAGACCTTCCGCTACGTGGTGCCCTTCCATTGCTTTACAACCGAAGAATGGCTCCACTGAAGCCGTCACCTGGTTGGTGTTGTTGGAGCTCAGACGAATCAGGTAACTTTGTTGCGGGTCCTCGCCACTTGGGTATTGACCACCTAATAGAAGAATTGCCATGGATGTGTACTGCGTGATGGAGTGGAATCTGACAGGAGCGGCTGGAGCCGGCGACAATGGAATATTTGTGACCACCACTCGACTGCCGTCGGGTGATATGTACAGCTCAGTGATCCACTTGGCAGTTTCCCTGTCCTGTGCGCTCCATGGCTGCCGCTGTGAGCCTCCGTAGATCATATTGCGGCCGTTCATTAGAGTCCAGCGGTGGCCGTACCTGGCTTGCAATGCAGCACCACCTGACGTGATCAACCCTGTCAGCAGGTGCCAGCGGCCTTTGCACTGCGCCAGGTCCGTAAACGACAGCAGCCACAGGTCGCCGAGTCCCGTTTGGTTCGCGGTCATCCCACCGTACACGATCAGACTGGTATCGTTGTGCGCAAAGATGACATGGTCGGCTCTGGGGCTTGGTTGCAGGTTAGATGCCGGCGGATATTGCATCTCCAACCAATAGTGGTTTTGCAGATCAAAACACCACGGTCGACGCAGCACGGGCTTGAACATTTTGTTCTGATGGGCCAGGCCGCCGAAGAGAATTGCCTTGCTCGAGACGCGAGTGAGGGAATGACCCAGCATACGCGAGTCTCGCGGTCCGTGCCGGAAACGCTTCATGATGTATGTGAGCCGAGGCCGCTTGTCACCATCGAGAGACTTACGCAGGAACCAAACACTCATTCCCTTGACGACATCTCCCAGTATGGGCTTGTGAATAGAGTATCGGCTTCCATGGATCAAGTTTAGACAAGTTCCACCGACAATGATGAGGTCACGTCCATTGGCAACATGCTGAGATGGGTATGTCACAGGTGTGGACGAGAGACAACGGAAAGCTCCAGGATAGCAGAAATGTGGGTTTGAGGAATCTGGTACGGGTACTACCTGCATGTTCAGCGTCGAATCAGACAGTTGCTGGCTGCTGCTTCTGCTAGCGCTACTACTACTACTACTACTACTACTACTACTACTACTGGCGGTGCCGCTCTGAGCGTGACCTTGGAAGTCGAAGAGCAACTGTAGAGTCTCCTCACATCCGAAATGAATCAGGTAAGCCGTGCTGCTGCTTGTTGCCAACGTCTGCATCGAGGTCAGTACCGAGCGTCTACTCTTGGTCCGTAGCGTGCTGCAGCTTCCACAACTCGCACGGCCAACCTTGCACCCAACGACCATGAAGTTCTCATCTGGATCGTGAGCCGTCACTCGTTCCCTCACAATCTTTGCCACAACCAGGGTCTCTGTGTCGGCGATGTACGCTGCGTTATACGACAATGATTGAAGGTCGGTCAAAAAGTTGCGCACCTCTTGCTCCGTCTCTCGTCCGAACGCATCATGCAAAGAGCTCCTCAAGCGCAGCCAGCGGCCGACTGTTATATCTAACTGCCAAGTATCCAACAATACGCGTGGCAGTTGGTTATCCGTGTCCCCCTTTTCCGAAGGAAGGCGAAATCCACCGACCATCAGCACTCTCGCGTCCGCCAGTGTGAACATCGATGGAAAAGCACGCGGAATCGGTAAATCTGCGTCGAAATTTTCCGGCTCGACTAGCCTCCACTTTGCAACAGTAGATGGGGAACAAATGCCAGTTGCAGGGACATCCAGTAGCCACAGATCATTGTGGACAGAGCTCTTTCTTAGCGGACACGGCGGTCTGTCGCATCTTATTCCGCCGAAGGAGACTATGGTATAGCCCTGGGTCATTTCGGAGGGAATGGTCGTGATCGCATGCAGGTAATGTGCAGGTCCACGCAGATCTTGTGCAGGGTCGCGGCCGCCTCCTGCGTCTCCATGCTGAGTGCGCAGAATGCAGTGAAAGCGTCGCGGTTCGTAGATCAAAACTTGGTGGCACTGAGGCTCGGCTCCGAATCCGAACATCACCAGCTGTCGCTTGTCAGGACTGGTCGCCAGAGCTGGCGTGAACGATTTTGGTTTACGGCAAGGTTCAGGCAAGAAGTGGAGGTCTAGAGCGTCCAAGGGTCGCCATGTTTGCCCGTCGTTTTTGGAGATATCCAGGCCATCAACACGGACGACTGCGCTGCGATTGGCGCTTTCAGATCCCGCTGGTATTCCCAGCGCTAGCAAAGCTTCGTATTCTTCGGTGAATCGACTATCCCTGACCATCATGGTGTGTTTAGGAGATGGCTGGCTGTGAATACCAGCGAAGTACGCGTAATGTGGACAATAGGGTCGGATCGTTTCCGGATGCACCAGCGAATCGAGAGAACGGACAGCCACAATGCGGGAGCTGAGTAGAATGGTAAGCGTAGCGAATACTGCCTTGAGAACCACCAGTACTGGCAATAGGCTCGGCCAGCTTACGCCAGTTGCGGCCATATCGGTCACAATTGTGCAAGAGCTCCCGTAACCCCGACCATATCAAGCCTTTCGCGAACTACAATTGTACTGTAACCTGGTAACTACGTTCAGACTGAAGAGGGTTTGTTTTCTGTGCATCGTGATCACTGTCTGCAAGTAAACACTCCAAAGGAAAAGGAAAGGCTACAGTCATGTAGTAGATTCCGCACTCCCGTTCCAATGTCACGAGAAGTGTTTCTACACCCGATATGGCTTATTCTCATAGTGTTATACGTAAGCCCTGGGCTAAGGGATTATCCCACTGCCGGGTCCCCGCATACATCATTGTAGATCTACGACTCCCAGTCTCAGTCTCAGGTCTGCACAATCATAATCATTGACCAACTAATGCACTCGTGTCCAGTGCCGCGGTCACCTGGATTGCAGCAGTGCGGAAGATTGACGGCAACCTGACCTAAACTGTCTACTGCCTGGCAGAGCTTACAACCTAGCTCCTTGATCTACGGAGGTATTCATCAGAAAGCGCCGAAGTGCTGTGGATTGAACGCGCATCCCTGGAATCCTGTCATATCAGGACAGTTTCCGTTGCACCAAGGGCGTCCGGTTAGGGCAGGTTTTTTACTGTATTTTTTTTATCTCGTTTGCTACGTGCGTGATGTGAGTGTCCGTGTATGCTGTAGACCCTCTCATGATGGCAACGTGCAAAGCAGTATAATGCTCTCATTTCAACTTGCAGCGAGGCATTTGATATCTCACGGCAGGAGCCGCAGGACCTTAGACCTTAGCCCGTTGTACATGCGATTGCTACTGTACTTTTCAGAGTCAGCGCCGCCACGGTGTTTGCACAAAAAAAGGAAAGAGAAAGTAAAGTTAGCCGGATTCGCGGCCGCCGCATCACCTGACATGACGTTGAGGAGCACATCGCATCACCTGACATGTTGAGGAGCACATCAAGCAAATACATTGCACGAAAAGCTCCGCCATAAACGCCCCAACGGCTAACAATACCTTGAGAATAGAATGAAGGTTTGGTAAAAGTCCACGTTGCATTCGTCGAATACAATGTGGAATTTTACATTTTCGGAATAGTAACTCCAGTGCAGCCCTGACCCTGTAAAATCCGGTACATAAGCCACGAGTGACAATATCGGGCTATACAATGTACATGTAGGCTGATGTAGCATCAGGCATGCTTGCTATCATGCTATGCGACCAGTTCTCGCATACAACAACATGCTAGTGCTCACTTCCCTGTGGTTGTTCTCTGGCCAAAGGGACTGGGCAACGCCGCAGGTTGTAACTAACTACTCTTACACTATTTAAAGTAATAGTTATGGGATGACATGTACATGTGCACGCCGTCCACCAGCTACCACCAGGCTCGGATGTGCAGCGCTATGGGAATGGGTGTGTCCACTGTCCACCCGAATTCCTTTCAGAGGCGAAGCTGCAGGAAGCCTCAGCCCTTCTTCATACACCTTTTAATTTTGGATTGTGCATGCGCGCAGTTCAGGTACATACACTACTGATTGAGGTGTTCATCCACTGGAATAGGTTTTGGTGCAACCTTCCGATTGTGTTCTCATGGTTCTTGTATATAATATCAAAAACCATAACCAAGCAGATTTACATGTGATTTGTGCATGGCTGGTTGCCAGACATGCCTTGGTATGCCGGGTCGCACGGGACCAGTGCGACGGTGTGCGCAGCTGCAAACCAGGGGTCATGATGCTAGCACATGCACACATGGTGCCTACATGTGTGCGTACATGTACCTAAGCAGGCTAAGGCTCTTTATCTCGCCTCACCCTCTCACCGGGTGTCATTATTATCATTATTATACGCTTTCCTGCGTTGAAGTGGAGCAGCAGTATGCTGCGTCTACAGCTTTGCTTATGCAGAATGGCTTGGGTGAGAGGAGAGGGGAGAAAGCAGCAAGGCAACCAACACCTAATATGAAGTAGGTCACAATAACATGAAGAGAACCAGCCTACATACACATGATGGCACAATAATGGAGAAGAGAAATGTTTGTTTGTTTGCTCAATCTGCGGACGTTGTTTGTTTGTTTGTATACTTTATTTGAATTCGCAAATCCAAACGAGCACAAATGCTCAATGACAAGGCAGCGAATATATTATTATGTTACAGGGAAGGAGGGTTAAAAAAGGAGGGGTGGGGAGAAAATAATGAGAAAGAAGAGAGAATGGTAGACATCTCAATGAAGAGCGAAGCGCAAGTTGCGCAACACAAACACACACAAATGGCGTCAACCATCTGCAAAAACCTCAATTCTTAAAACTGCATCTTGAAGTTTTTTTAAAATTTCCTTCTGCTCTAATTAGCTTACGCTATTCCTGCCGACTTGAATTCTCATTCGACTGACTCACGACCGTACATCACACGAGAAGTCCATCGAACCGTCCACTCGGCAAACCTGCAAAAAATCACCACTACCTGCTCAATACACAGTGTTTCGGAGAATTCACACCTCATCATGCAGTTGAGCTTGAGTAGGCTGAGGAAGATTGTGCCTGAAGATCACCACTTAGTAGTAGTACTGTAGTATAGTATTTCGTAATAAGTATTCGCATGCAACGACGCAAATCCACACAATTCAGTAGACACTTCTTTTCTATCAAACGTTTTCTTTCCCTTCTCTTCAGGATAGTACAGGGAATGTTGGAAATTTGGAAAAACACATAACTATAATTATAGAAAAATAGAGAAAAAGTCAACACTTCAACGTAGGCGATAAAATGACTAAAGTGTTTAAAAAAACTCGAAAACAAAAGCAGCAAGTTGTAGACAAACACGTTGAACACATCAAGAAGCACTTGTCACACTTTCACGAGGTGTGACACCAAACAACTGCAACGATAACACATTCTCCTTCTGTACACATAGTTCTGGATCTAGTTTACGAATATACAGAGCTTCTAACACAGCAAGATGTAACTTAGACCTTCCACGAGTTAAAACCGAAAAGACATCATCACTATACAACTCACGACAATTAGCACTTCCCGACAAATGACGCTTGATGGACGATGTCCGATCCTTTAGCTCTGTCACCTTCGACGTTTGCCGTTGTTCTCTTCCGTTGGGCTTGTTGACACCTCCAACGTCCTTTGAATTCATGGTCGTTTTCGTTTGACTCCTCGGTCTTCCTCGTTTCCTCTTGTTGATCGTTGTTGTCACTTCCAGTACCGACGTATTCAAATCTCCAGTACTTCGTCTCTTCACCTTGCTTCTGGTAACTCTTCCGGTGTCCGTGAGCTCCGGTGTCACATTGGGCGGTTTTCGGGATGGTCTTCCTCGCTTCCTCACGCTAGTCTGAGATGGGTCAAGCTCCCCGCCCGTCGAGGCGGAGGCGCACATGCGTACATCGACACTGGACGCAGACAAAGGCGCTCCAGTATCGGACTGCACAGCACATTTTGGAGGACGGCCACGACGAGGACGAGTACCACGAGCGTCAACAGGGACAAGACCGCCCAATGTGACACCGGAGCTCACGAACACCGGAAGAGTTACCAGAAGCAAGGTGAAGAGACGAAGTACTGGAGATTTGAATACGTCGGTACTGGAAGTGACAACAACGATCAACAAGAGGAAACGAGGAAGACCGAGGAGTCAAACGAAAACGACCATGAATTCAAAGGACGTTGGAGGTGTCAACACGCTCAACGGAAGAGAACAACGGCAAACGTCGAAGGTGATAGAGCTAAAGGATCGGACATCGTCCATCAAGCGTCATTTGTCGGGAAGTGCTAAGTGTCGTGAGTTGTATAGTGATGATGTCTTTTCGGTTTTAACTCGTGGAAGGTCTAAGTTACATCTTGCTGTGTTAGAAGCTCTGTATATTCGTAAACTAGATACAGAACTATGTGTACAGAAGGAGAATGTGTTATCGTTGCAGTTGTTTGGTGTCACACCTCGTGAAAGTGTGACAAGTGCTTCTTGATGTGTTCAACGTGTTTGTCTACAACTTGCTGCTTTTGTTTTCGAGTTTTTTTAAACACTTTAGTCATTTTATCGCCTATGTTGAAGTGTTGACTTTTTCTCTATTTTTCTATAATTATAGTTATGTGTTTTTCCAAATTTCCAACATTCCCTGTACTATCCTGAAGAGAAGGGAAAGAAAACGTTTGATAGAAAAGAAGTGTCTACTGAATTGTGTGGATTTGCGTCGTTGCATGCGAATACTTATTACGAAACTGTTTTCCCACCGCCTCCAAACTACTGTTTGAAGCAGGGAGTAGTACATTGTACTACTCCCTGGTTTGAAGTATAGTATTTATTCATATTTCTCTAGGGCAGTCCCCACAGACCTATGGTCTCCTTACGGGGTACCCTAGCCAATCTAGGATTGCGATACGAAATTGACTTGGTGAAGCAGCAAGGCGGACCGATGCCGGAACTGAGTTCCAGCGGTCAGCGGCTAAATAAGAAAGAGAGGAATAACCAAATCGAGAGGAGGCTCGTGGCAGTACAAGTCCAAGCGAGACTTGAGACCTTGTGCAGGTGCAGCTAGGTGCCTCAGAATTGGCACGAAGGCAGAAAAGGCGGCACAGAAGTGAGCTGGCAGAATAATGAACGCATCTGAATACAAGAAGATACAGTCGGATAGTGATGGGTGTGAGGTTGTTTCGAGACAGAATACACTGGACATCTGCGGTGGGTGGGTAGCCAAATACAGTGCGCAATGAACGGCGAGAGATGCGGGTGAGAGAATCATATTCATGTTGTCGCAGACTGTGTACATAAGCATTGCTTGCATATTCCAGTGTAGAGTGGACAAAAGAGAGATAAAATATGCGTCTGGCTGCATTGGTCAACATGGTGCGGCAGCGCCGAAATGCATTCACTTTTGCACTGACCTTCTTTCGGAGTGCATCAACTTGCTGACGGAATGTCAAGTGCTCATCAATAATGATGCCGAGATACTTAGCACAAGATGATTGTTCGACCACAGTGCCACAGAACCGCAACTGACGGGATGCCTGTACGGTGGGCTTCCGCAGAACAAGACACTGAGTCTTTGCCGGGTTTAGGTAGGTACATTTTTATTTGAATTCGCAGAACCAAACGGGCGGTGTCGCCCAATTACATGGAAGCGAATGGAAACAGTAAAATATTGTAGGAAATAGCCTAACATGATAGCAGGGTGTAGTACAAAGCAAAGAACGCTCAGTCAATGAATAACGTT